AGTACAGGAAAACATTTAGCAGCCACTTGACAACAATAATATTGAAAAATTCTTCTGATGCCACTTTAAACGTGCTTATTCAATAGTACTTTCCAAATTGCAAGGAATATCAATTTTGTAAATAGCAGAAATACATGTTTAGAGTAGTGGTTCTCAACCAAGGGACTGGGGGCCCACAAGGACCTGAAGATGACTTAAAAAGTTTTAAAATAAGCTCAAACCAAACATCAAGATATTTCTTAATTCACCCCCCAATGTCTGAAATTTTAATTTAATTTTAATTCTTATTATTTTAGTTGTGTAATTTAATCTATGGACACTCCTAATTTCAGTAAATTAAAAAGGGGATATACCCACTGAATGTAAATGTACACAGCACAAGTTAACAAGAAGTGATGAACACAACATATATGGTCTGTGAGTTTTATTTTTCTTGGGAAAAACAAGTGTACCATACAGCAAAAAAAAAAAAAAAGTAAAATAAATGGCCACTTTCTCTCTAGATAAACAGTGCAGTTTTAAGAAAGATTCAGGAAAAACTGTTATATTTACTAATTGTTTTAATAATAGTTAGTTGGCTGATACCATAAAGCTAAATTATCAAATTTCCCATAATCCTTTACTATGCTGGTACTGTGAGAGTACAACAGAGTGAGTGTAAGCTAAATGTTATGTGTTATGTATAAATGACCATGTAAGGTAAACATGCAGTAACTAAACTGAGAATGAAAAATAAAACATTGATAAGATCCTGTACATGTTATGAATGCCATGAGCAATAATTAATGTATCAGTATCTGAAACAAGCCTAAACGTTTATGGAGGTCTGCAGTTATTTAGAAACTGAAGACTTACAAGAGTACACAGAACTCATCTCAGGTCAATTCATTTCTTCATTCAGTATACATTTACAAAGAACAAGGTTAAAAGAGCCAACTGCATGCAGTGCTCCAGATTTATTCTTTAAACAAAGGAAGTTTGGCTGGATTGCGGAGGTAAATGGCAATAGAAGACAGGAAAATAGGGGAAGATTTGAAGCAGGCTGTATATCTGCCTCAGCTTGCTCTAGGAAGTCAAACTAAGCATTGGAAAATTTAGCAAATACCACACTTCACATCTGTGTTGTATTGGATTTAGCACTGGGTCACTTGAACAACCTTGCTCGCAAAGCTCTCTGTCTTCACTACCATAATTCAATCCCTAATTAAAGGGACAGCTCAGGCAAAAAAATGAAAATTCTGTCACCATTTACTCACCCGCATGCCATTCAAAACCCGAATTACTTACTTTCTTCTGTAGAACGCTAAAGAAGATATTTTGAAGAATGTTGGGAACCAAACATTTTTCTTCCCATACAATGGGAGTAAATGGTGACCAAGACAAGACATTTCCTGTTCCACAGGTGAAAGTTTTACCGGTTTGTGAGTAAATGACAGAATTTCATTTTTGTGTGAATTATCACTTTAAAGGATGACAATATTTCCAGTTTTCTTAAAAATTAAAGTTAAATGGCACACATCTGATGCCAAAAAGGATTAAAATCAGTCTCTCGGTTAAGCTGTACTAAAATAGATTTACTGGCTAACCAGCCATGTGGCGCTCACAGTCATTCTGACATCTCTATTCCTCAGTGGTGGTTTCTGGGTATTGCTGATTTTTTCCCCCCAGAAAAACTGTAACGCTGTTGTTTAAAGAGCAGGTCATATGGGCTTTCGAAAAATATTTCTTTTGCAGTTTGTAAGATAGCGATCCTTCAATGTAAACAGTCTGCAAAGTTGTTAATCAAAAAAAGTGCATGATAAATAAAGATATTGTCTCTCAAAAGAAAGAGTCGACTCAGAATCGCCTTAAGTCATTTTCGAATCTTCTGCCTGTTACCGATCTACGTCACTGGGTAATAGGGTTACAGTGGGTAAGTTATAGGGTTAATGCAGGGAGTAAAAGACCCGGTAGAGAAGAGGCTGGTGCGCATGTGATACAGTTGTTCTGCATTATAATTAAAGGTTAAGACACGGAGCATCTTTTGTCTGTCGTTCTTCAGACATTACAGTAGACATATTTTTGGTTTTCAAACTGTATTGTTTCATCAGTTAGTCACGTTAGCACTCGGCTAACATATCCACCATTATTGTTTTGTTAAGTGATTACAGTTTAGCAGCTAAACTTTAGCTGTGGGCACGATTCGCTTGCACAAGTGTTAAACAAAATGTTTTTGTCATTATTTTAAGAACTGATTGGAGCACTATATTATTGTTTTATGTAAAGGTGCATGCTAGGGTTGCCAGGTTGTCACAAAAAAACCCGCATAATTGCTACTCAAAACTAGCCCAATCGTGTTTCGAGGGTGGTCCCCCTTTAAAAATCGCGTTCTGGGGTGTAAAATATACGCTTTAAGTCGGGGTTCCCCTGGTAAATTCGCATTCCAGTGCCTAAATGTGAGTTATTGGGGTCGCTACAACCCGCGACATCAAAAACAACCGCGGACTTGGCAATACAGATGGTAGCACTCGCTAACTTGCTCAAGCACTCCTCTTTGTGTCAATCACAACAGGCTTGGCCAGCTGACCAATCAGAGCAGAGTAGGCTTATAGAAGGGAGGGGTTTACATTTATATTTAGTCATTTAGCAGACGCTTTTATCCAAAGCGACTTACAAATGAGGACAATAAAAGCAATCAAAACTAACAAAAGAGCAACAATATATAAGTGCAAATGACAAGTCTCGGTTAGCCTAACGCAGTACACGTAGCAAGGTGTATATATATATATATATATATATATA